TAACTGACATCTACCGAGTATTTCACCCTAAAACAACACAGTACACATTCTTCTCAGCAGCTCATGGAACTTTCTCCAAAATAGACCATATCATAGTTCATTCAAGGAACTTAAGCAAATACAAAGGGATCGACATAATCCCCTGTATCCTATCTGACCACAGTGGAATCAAGCTAGCTCTCAATAACAAAGCATACCGCAGAAATTTCTCTAATACATGGAAATTGAACAGCACACTCCTTAACAAGGCCTGGGTAACAGAAGAGATCAGAGAAGAAATAAAGCATTTCCTAGAACTCAATGAAAATGAAAACACCTCACAAAGAAACTTGTGGGACACAGCAAAAGCAGTCCTGAGGGGCAAATTTATTGCCCTCAGTGCCCACATCAAGAGAATGGAGACAGACCAAGTAAATAATCTCATGTTGCAACTAAAACAGCTAGAAAAACAAGAAAAAATGGGACCTAAAGCTACTAGACGAAGCCAGATAACCAAATTGAGAGCAGAGATTAACCAATTAGAAAATCAGAAAACCATAACCAAAATAAACCAAACAAAAAGCTGGTTCTTTGAAAAAATAAACAAAATTGATGGCCCGTTGGCAAGATTAATTAAAAAAAGAAGAGAGGAAACCCATATTAATAGGATTAGGGATGCCACGGGAAACATCACAACACGTACCCAAGATATCCAAACAATTCTAACAGACTACTTTCAAAAGCTATACTCTCTAAAGGAAGAAAATCTGGCGGAAATGGATGCATTTTTAGAGAAATACAAGTTGCCCAAACTGAGCAAAGAAGAAGTTAACCAATTAAATAAGCCAATATCCTATAATGAGATACAGGAAGCTATCAAAAGTCTTCCAACAAAAAAAAGCCCAGGACCAGATGGATTCACAGCAGAATTCTATAAGACCTTTAAAGAAGAACTAATACCCATACTCCTCAAGCTCTTCAGAGAAACAGAGAAGGAGGGAGCTATCCCAAACTCATTCTACGAAGCCAATATCACACTCATCCCCAAACCAGGCAAAGACCCAACCAAAAAGGAGAATTACAGGCCAATCTCCTTGATGAACACAGATGCAAAGATCCTTAACAAGATTCTAGCTAACAGAATCCAGAAACACATAAAAAAAATAATACACTATGATCAGGTAGGCTTCATCCCAGAGACACAGGGATGGTTTAACATACGTAAGTCAATAAATGTAATCCAGCATATCAACAGAGCCAAGGTCAAGAATCACATGATTATCGCCACAGATGCAGAAAAGGCCTTTGATAAAATTCAACATTCATTCATGCTAAAAGCTCTGGAGAAAATAGGAATAGAAGGAACATTTCTAAAAACAATAAAAGCCATTTATGACAGACCAATAGCCAATATTATACTTAATGGGGAAAAGCTACAACCAATCCTCCTAAAAACAGGAACAAGGCAAGGATGTCCACTGTCTCCACTCCTCTTCAACATAGTCCTAGAACCCTTAGCCAGGGCAATAAGGCAAGAAAAAGACATTAAAGGGATCCGCATAGGGAAAGAAGAAGTGAAACTATCCCTTTTTGCAGACGACATGATACTATACCTCCACGATCCCAAAAACTCCATCCCCAAACTTTTAGAAATCATAAGTCACTTCGGCAAAATAGCAGGATACAAAATAAACCCACAAAAATCAGTTGCCTTCCTATACACTGATAACGCACAGGAAGAGAGGGAAATAAAGGGAGCAACCCCATTCACAATAACCTCCCAAAAAATAAAATATTTAGGAATTAACCTAACCAAAGATGTAAAAGAACTATTTAATGAGAACTATAAAAAGTTAAAGAAAGAAATTGCAGAAGACACTAGGAAATGGAAAGACCTCCCATGCTCCTGGATAGGCCGACTTAATATAGTAAAGATGGTGATACTTCCAAAATTAATATACAAATTCAATGCAATTCCTATTAAAATCCCAATGACGTACATCACTGAAATACAGAAAACAGTCCAAAAATTTATATGGAACAACAAAAGACCTAGAATAGCCAAAACAATTCTAGGGGATAAAGACAATATGGGAGGGCTATCCATGCCGAACTTCAAACTCTACTACAGAGCTATAATCACAAAGACAGCATGGTACTGGCACAAAAACAGACCCGAAGACCAATGGAACAGAATAGAAGATCCAGATATAAATCCACAGGCCTACAGCCAGCTGATATTCGACAAAGGAGCCAAAGACATACAATGGAAGAAACACAGCCTCTTCAACCGCTGGTGCTGGGAAAACTGGGCAGCCACATGCAGAAAACTAAAAGTGGACCCCAGCCTATCACCATGCACCAACATCAACTCAAAATGGATTAAAGACCTTAACATTAAACCTGAATCTCTGAAACTACTGCAGGACAGAGTAGGAGAGACACTTGAACTAATAGGCACAGGAAGGAACTTCCTGAACAGAGTCCCAGGGTCACAACAAGTTGGAGAGAGACTCGACAAATGGGACTACCTTAAAATAAAAAGCTTCTGCACAGCTAAATCTATCGCAACTAAGCTAGAAAGACAACCAACTAATTGGGAAAAAATATTTACCAGCAATATATCAGACAAGGGGTTAACATCCTGTATATACAGGGAACTCAAGAAACTAATCCCTCCCAAACCTAACAAACCAATTACTAAATGGGCAAGGGAACTAAAGAGGGACTTCTCAAATGAAGAAATAAAAATGGCAAAGAAACACATGAGGAAATGTTCATCATCCCTGGTGGTGAAGGAAATGCAAATAAAGACAACCCTGAGATACCACCTTACCCCAGTCAGAATGTCCCACATCCACAAATCAGCCAACGACAAATGCTGGAGGGGATGTGGAGAAAGAGGAACCCTATTACACTGCTGGTGGGAATGTACACTTATACAACCACTTTGGAAAGCAGTCTGGAGGGTCCTTAGAAAGCTAAAGATTGACCTCCCTTACGACCCAGTCATAACACTTCTAGGCATCTACCCTGAACAACAGGAACCAATATACAAGGACACGTGCACCTCCATGTTTATTGCAGCACTGTTCGCAATAGCTAGGATATGGAAACAACCTAGGTGCCCCACCACAGATGAATGGATCCAAAAATTGTGGTATCTATACACAATGGAATATTATGCAGCCATTAGAAATGACAAAATAATGGCATTTGCAGGGAAATGGATGGAGCTAGAAGGAATCATGTTGAGCGAGGTAAGCCAAGAACGAAGAGACAAACGGTACATGGTCTCCCTCATAAGTGGATGCTAAATCCAAAAGGTTAGTGATACGACAAAACTAACAGGACTTAAGAAACAAAGAACTCCCGCTCATCTGGTTGAACCACTACTAAATATCCTCATGCTGCTGATCACAAATATGGTATATAACATGTGAACACTGTTATATATTACAGACTGTGGTAGACAATTTGCTCCAGGGAAGTTAGAATGAACTTGTGACTTTGAAATTATGTAATCATTTAATCACAATCAAAAAAAAAAAAAAAAAAAAAAAGAACCTCGGGGAAGGGAGGGAGGGAGGGGATGGTAGGGGGAAAACAATGGAGGGGGTAACAATGTTCAAGAGGAAGTGTACTCATAACCTCACTCATGTAACTGTGACCCTCTGTATAGTAGCTTTACAATAAAAAAATAAAAAAAAAAAAAAAAAAAAAAAAAGTGACTGTCAATAATGTAGAGTTAGTAACTAAAAAAGGGGCTTAAAGCCAGAGCAGCTGGGCACTGGTGGCTCATACCTGTAATCCTAACTACTCAGGAGGTTGAGATCTAAGGATCATGGTTCAAAGCCAGCCCAGGCAGAAAAGTCCCCATGAGACTCTTATCTCCACTCAAAACCGGAAGTGGTGCGGTGGCTCAAGTGGTAGAGCTCTAGCTTTGAGCATGAAGAGGCTCAGAGACAGCACTCAGGCCCTGAGTTAAAAGCCCCACAATCCCCCTCCGCCCTCCCCCCCCACCCCCTGCCCCCGCCACACACACACACTCACACACACACACACACACACACAAACCCCACAGGGCATCTGATTTCATGTCTGCAGTTCTTGCCACAAAACAAAACCCAAAACCATTAAGCTTGCCCACAAATATCTGTCAGTTCAGTGGAATATACAGACATATGAAGAGATTATTTCATCATGAGAGAGAACATGAAAATAAGAGGTAACATAGGCAATCATTGGGGCAGAACTGAGAGTTCAAAGGTTTGTGGAAGAAAAGCCCATGGAGGCTGTCCTAGATGAGCCCAGAAGCGCATCTAGGTCATAGAGTGAGGTAGCATTTCAGGTGGAAGTAGCAATATAAGAAAAAAACCTTGGGGCTGGGAAGGTGGCTCAGTAGTAGAGCACTTGCCTTGCATGCATGAGGCCCTGGGTTCGATTCCCCAGCACCACATAAGCAAAAAGAAAAAATGCCGGAAGTGGCGCTGTGGCTCAAGTGGTAGAGCGCTAGCCTTGAGCTGAAGAGCTGAGGTATAGCACCTAGGCCCAGAGTTCAGGCCCCACTACCGGACCCCCCTTCCCCCACCAAAAAAAAAGGAAAAAAAGAAAAGAAAAAACCTTGGGCACAGGAAAGAATCTGACATGTAGTTGTAGGTTATAGAGATTCATTAGCACATAAGTTGTGAGGCTTAGAGAGAAATAGCAGAGCTGAAGAGACTTGATATAAAAGTGCAGGAAAGGAAAAAGAAGGGAAGGGAGGGGAGAGAAGAGGATAGAAACCATATCATGAAAGAGTAGAAATTGTAGCTAAAGAAGGCTGGCTAAAGGTACTTTTAGGATAGAAAAGATCTGAAAATTTTAACATTCAGCAAGAGCCATTCATTCCTGCACCAGACTCTTTTATATATGCCTTTTTGAAAATCCCACCTCAGATAGGATAAGGTCAAAGTCCTTTAGGTCTTTTCCAAAAGTCAGACATAGCACCATTAACATGCTAACATTCAAACATTACTTACATGGCAACATCTGGGCTGCCCAGAGTATAGACAGCAAAATGTAGAAGACCCAGGATGTAAGGACACAAATTGGCTTCATGGCAACCACATGTAAGTCTCTTGCAACCCCAACACACTGATTTTCTTCAATATGAAACCTCTCAAATTAGAAAAGAGGAAGTAAATCTAACTGTTTTATCTCCATGCACCTGGCATCGTTTGTGATTGGCTTTTATCAATCAGATTTGGCTAGGTTGGTACTAGTGCCATCTGCATCCTTATGGTTGGGGATGAAATGCTAGCATTCTCAGCTGTTCAAAAAGATCCCTCAGAGAGCTAGGCATAGTGGTGAACACCTGTAGTCCTATCATTTGGAAGGTGGAGACAGGAGGATCAAGAGTTAGAGCCCAACCTGGGCTACATAGTGAAATTACCATCAAGGAAAAACAAAACAAAAAACAGAAAAAAGACCAAAGTGATCATGCATCAACCTTGAGCAAAAAAAAAGGCAAGCAAGACCTGGAAGCCCTGAGTCCCAGTACCAGCATTTTAAAAAGAAAAGAAAAAGCCGGGTGCTGATGGCTCATGCCTGTAATGCTAGCTACTCGGGAGGCTGAGATCTGAGGATCACAGTTCAAAGCCAGCCCAGGAAGGAAAGTCTGTGAGCCTCATATCTCCAATAACCTACCCAGAAAAAAGCCAGAAGTGTCTCTGTGGCTCAAGTGTTCGAGCCTTGAGCAAAAGAAGCTCAGAGATAGTGCCCAGGCCTTGAGTACAAGCCGTAGGATGGGGTGTGGAGGGGAGAAAAAGAAAGAAAGAACAATCTCAGTGGGAATATGAATACAGATCAGAAAGAATCCTCTGGAAAAGATAAAAGCTAAAAAAAGAAAGAAAATGAGTTTCCAGAGGCCCCAGCAGAAAGGCCAAGGTACATGCTCATGAGCAAAGCTCAAGCCAATGATCCTGAAGAAATTAGAGACAGGAGGTATCATATAGCTTGAGAAACTAGAGGAGACCTGGGAATAAGGGCAATAGGGAAAGTACAGAAACAATCTTAAGCTCCTGCAGCCTGTTTGAGTCATACTGAGGTCCTGTGACTTTTCTCACAGGGGCCTCACTCTACCCCATCTCCTGTCATTGCACCCAGCAGGCTCTTAGGAGGATATGAGACAAGCCATCAGAAATGGGGGCAGGCAGTCTTACTTAAAGGCAGAGTCAGGGACTGGGTTACCATTCATCTGTGCAAACCCACAGATCAGGGCAGCTGCTTCAACATTGTGGGCATGAGTGATAGATCTTCCTCAATCTAAAATAAGCATTTAGAATAAATTTTCCATTATACGAAAATGATATGTTTGGTGCAAGTGGCCCCAGGGAGTCCAAGGGTGGTTGATTATGTGTGTGTGTGTGGGGGGGGGTGGCAGAAGAGGAGGAGGGGGAGGGAAGGCAATAAGGCAAGAAGCCTTACAGCCAAAGCAGTATGATAAACTTAGAAGCTTCAGAAGAGCACCAGGCACTGGTGGCTCACTCCTGTAATCCTAGCTACTCAGGAGACTGAGATCTGAGGATCGTGGTTCAAAGCCAGCCTGGGCAGGAAAGTCTATGAGACTCTTATCTCCAATAAAGCACTAGAAAACTGGAAGTGGCACTGTGGCTCAAGTGGTAGAGTGCTTACCTTGAGCTGAAGAGCGCAGGAACAGCACCCAAGCCAAGAGTTCAAGCCCCACAAACAGAAAGAAAAAAAAACGCTACAGAAGAGCAAAAAAAAAAAGCCTAGGTCACCCTTATAAAAATTAAATTTAAGGCCAGACTCCAGTGGCTTATATCTGTAATCCTAGCAACTCAAGAAGCTGAGGACTGCAGTTAAAGCCATCCAGGGAAGGAAAGTTCAGACAAGTCTTATCTCCAATTAACCACACACACTCACACACACTCACACACACACACACACACACACACAAATGGCTCAAGTGGTAGAATACCAGCCTTTGGGGGAGGGGGGGATAAAAAGCTCAGGGAGAGTACCCAGGCCCTGAATTCAAGCCTCAAGATGTGCCCACACACACACACACACACACACACACACACACACACACACACACACACACACACACACACCAGGCATCCATACATATAATCCAGCAACCAAGAAATGCCAAAGGTACAAATTTAACAAACAAACAAACAAAAAAAGGAAGCAAAAGCCAGCTCTTTCTAGCCAAAGAACCAAGAAGGAAGGATGTAGCCTAGTTTGACTGGAAACACTTAGATAATAAACACTTCTATATTAGCAATAGCACCAGAAAATACTGAGATACAACCACCTATAGAAACATAAAGTAGACAGCCACAGCCTAGACAAGTGCCTGAGATAAGAAGACACTTTTTGTAATGATTTTTAAAAAGCCCGTCCACCAAAAACAACACCCTAATTTTTAATTCATCAAACAATAGGGCTGCAAAATAGGTGGAGCAAAAGTTATGTAACTAAAGAGAGATTTTGACCAATCCACAACTACAGTTGGAAGACTCAAAGCTATACTCAAAAACTGATAGAATGACTAGACCTGTGGCTTACACCTGTAAGCCTAGCTACTCAGGAGGCTGATATCTGAGGATGTGGTTCAGAACCATCCTGGGCAGAAAAGTTTGTGAGGCTCTTATTTCCAATTAACCACCAAAAAGTCAGAAGTAGAGCTGTGGCTCAACTGGTAGAGTGCTAGCCTTGACCAAAGATGCTTAGGAACAAATCCCAGATCTTGAGTTCAAGCCTCAGTCAAGAATACACATTGTTTTTAAGTGCCATGGGACACATACCAAAACAGATCTAGAACCTACATACATACACACAAATACAAGCACAGTCTTGACATACATATACTTACATTCTTACACACACACACACACACACACACACACACACACTCTTACTTCATACAGGCCATATTTACCAACTGATGTGCAATAAAAAGTAGAAAACCACTTAGTGCCCATGTTCCTTGAAGACAAAATAAATGCAACAAAAAAATCCCTCTAAGTAAATATTGGATTAAGAAAATAAAACTAAAGTAGTAAACTGTCTAAAAACAACATGGATAGGAGTATATAACAAAATCTAATGAATGTGACATTCCTACCAGAATTCTAGAATACAGCAAAAGCAGAGTTGAGGGGAAATTCCAGAACTCTAATGTCTACATTTTTTAAAGTACTCAAATAAATGAACTTATAGTGCAACTAAATCTTCTAGAAAAGAAGAGTAAATCAAACCCACAACTAGTAGACTGAGAAAAATAGTTAAAAAAAAAAATCAGGGCAGAAATTAATCTAATAGAAGCAAAAAAAACCCCCAAAACAAACAAAAAACCTATTCAATGAAACAAGCTGATTCTTTCAAAAAATTAGTAAGATTGTTAAACCCTTAGCTAATCTGACAAAAAAAAAAAGAAAAGAAAGAAAGAAGAGAAAGAAATTCAAATCAACAACATCTAACTCATATGTCCAAAACAGAAATAGAAGGAAAAGGTTCAAGCCCTTTGTAAATTTATTTGAAAACAGGAAGTTTAGAAATAATGATTAGTAAATCTAAATAAGGTAGAAACACAACACATATCTGGACCAAAGACAAATATATATTTAAAACATGTTTGTTTGAAAACAAAGGCAGAGTACTTGATCAATAAACCAAAAGCTTATGATAAGACCAATAATATTTTATTTGCTTATTAGCAATAAAATAGTAAGTCTGATTAGAATAAAGTGGTTCATTCTCAATAGTCATTTCACCTTGACATGACTATGCTGAGTAAGTTATGGTCATCTTAAGTCTCTTTTTTAGTGAGTGATTCAGGAATGGAAAGAATACTAAGAAAAATTTCCTTACTCTCAAGAGACAGGTAAAAGAAAAAACTAGCCCCCTTTTTTACTAGCTATCTTGATATAATTCTGAGGACTGCTATCACTGAGCTCAAGGGAAGGGGTAACATTGTCCAAAAAGAAATGTACTCTTGATCTGACTTACGTAACTGTAACTCCTCTGTATATCACCTTTACAACAATAAAAAATTATTTCAAAAAAATTTGCTATCATCATCTTGCTAGCCCAAGGGCAGTGCCTAGAGAATTGCAGGAAAATGGGCTCAATATTATAATACAATGGGACACTCTGTCTTTGTACTTTTTGTTATCTGAGATAATATATTTCCTTGTTGCTTAAGCCAATTTGAATCAGAGTTTCCTGTTATTTCCAAGTTAAATCATCTTGGTAAAATAAACAAACCCCCAAAACTAAAAATAAAAGGGAGAATGTAAGCAGGAGCACATATATACCAAAAAAAAAAAGAGAAAAGAAAATTCAGCAGTGACATACAAATAAAATGTCTAACTTTCAAAATTGACTTCAAACAGAATAGATAAGATGGGCCCTGGTGGCTTATGCCTATAATCCTAGCTACTTAAAAGGCTGAGACCTGGAGGATTAAAGTTAAGTCAGCCCTTGGCAAAAAAAAAAAAAAAAAAGTCTGCAAGAATCGATCTCCAGTTAACCAGCAAAAACCACAGGTGCAGATGTGGCTCCAGTAGTAGAGAGCTATCTGTGAGCAAGAAAGTCAAGATTAAGCTGAAGGCCCTGAGTTCAAGTCCCAGCACTAGTGCACACATGTGGGTGGATGTGCACATGCTCGCGTGTGAGTGGGTGCACGCTGCGCACACACCAATCCTAACCATGTCAATAATGATAGGAAATAAAAATAAGTGTCAAAGATCTATTGCAAAAAAGGCACCAAGTTCATACACTATAAATATTTCTATTATCTAAACAAATGAAGAGCTCTAACTTTGGAAAACTCAATATAACCCATACGTCAAATCTTACTGAATAACACAAAGTAATTCAACAATATGGTTACAATTAGTGTGAATTTTGCCCAAGTGTGGGTTTTGTTGTTGTTGTTGTGTTGTTTTTGTCAGTCATAGGCACTGTTCCTGAGCTTTTTTGTTCAAGGTTAGCATTCTACCACTTAGAGCTACAGTTCCATTTCTGATTTTCAGGTGGCTAATTGGAGATAAGGGTCTCATAGATTTTCATGCCTAGGCTGGCTTCAAACCTTGATCCTCAGATCTCAGCCTCCTGAGTAGCTAGGATTACAGGTATGAGACACCAACACCTGCCTGCCCAAGTGTTTTATGAGCACATAAAAGTATATAATGTGAGCAATTACCACACAGGAATGTGGATTGATAAATGTTAGCCTTCATTATTTCTGGTTTGTGCATCATGGGTGACCTAATGTTTTCTTCTCTGCTCATCTACATTGTAGCTTTATAAAACAGTATTTCATTAGTGCAGTAAAATGATCTACATATAAGGAGAGAAGTTGCTGCTAAACAATTTTTAAATCAAGAAACATATACTATAACTATAGAATAGTCGAAGTATTTTATATGAACAAGAAATTAAAAAGGACAAGCTGTGAAAGCCTTTGATAATCCAATAAATGCAAATAATATCCCTTCTTCATATATGCTTATAGCATATATGCATATCTGATTGTACAGCCATAACAAGTATCATAGAAATCTATGGGCACATCTCAACAAAAAAAGCTAAAAATTCCTGAATGCAAAAAATGTTTCAAATGGAGGAGGCTACATTGCTTGATAAGAAATGTACTCATTATCTTGCCCATGTAATTGTAACCCCTCTGTACAGTATTTTCACAATAAAAAAATAAAAAAATGTTTCACAATGATCTGAGATGAAGCCAACTCAAGGGCATTCACTAGACCTGCTCCCCAACTAAGCCAGAAGTCCTATTTTAACCTGTCTTGAATGGCTTCTCTGAGATCATATCCTCTGGAAGCAGAAAACATTCCTCACAGACACTCATCTAAAGTCTGACATAATAAAGCAAAATGATCATTTTGATTACCATAGGAGGAAAAAAAAGAAGGCATGGAACAATACCAGTTCAGCTGGTACCAGTGACTCATGTCTGTAATCCTAGCTACTCAAGAGGTTGAGATCTGAGGATAGTAGTTTAAAGCCAGCCTGAGGAAGAAACTCTTCTCTCTAATTAACCATCTAAAAAGCCAGATGTCGAAATGTGGCTTACATGGTAGAGTGCTATCCTTGAGCACAAAAGCTCAGGGACAACACCCAGGCTGAGTTCAAGCCCCAGGATCTACACTAAAAAGAAAAGAAAAGAATAGAATACCAGTTCATAGAAGAAAAGTGCTCAGGGGCTGGGGAGTTGGCTTAGTGGTAGAGCGCTTGCCTTGCATGCATGAGGCCCTGGGTTCGATTCCTCAGCACCACATAAGCAAAAAAGAAAAAACCCGGAAGTGGCGCTGTGACTCAAGTGGTAGAGCGCTAGCCTTGAGCTGAAGAGCTGAGGGACAGCGCCCAGGCCCAGAGTTCAGGCCCCACAACCGGACCCCACCCAAAAAAAGAAGAGAAAAGTGCTCAATTTGGAGAGAATGTTCACCTGATACTCCAAGTCCTCATCACTCTTCTTCCCCACACCCTATCCATTACTACCTTCCCAAGATAGTTATCATTGACCAAAAAACAGACCCCAGAGAGCTCAGTCTACGCTCCAACCAATGTACCCCTCACCTGATAAACAGAATGTTGTTTTCATATTATTTTATGATAAAAGTCATCTATGATCTTCATAGAAAAATAAGAAAATGAAACATCACTGATAATTCCATTGTCCTGAAATAATCACTTTGACCATGTTGGTTTATTGTTAGTCTGTTTTATCATTTCTGCAATAATATATACTTAAATAATGGTGCTCAAGTAACTTGTGACAGAAGTATTCCCCACCTTGCTACACCTCTTAATAACAGTAAGTGTATTAGTTTTATTAGTGGTGTGGATTTGTAACAAAAGAGCCTTGATGCCTATGTAGGCAAAGGCTGAAGTCAACCAGTAGGGACAGTATTGTCTCTTTGTTTCAGGATTCACATTGGCAACTCTGGAAGTTCTTTTCCTTTGTAACTGCAGCATCCACTTGACTGCTCCAAGGACAGTTGATGACAGAAGACATTTGACCCTCACCTCATTGATTTTCTTAGAGACAGAAAGAGAGAAAGAGTGAGAGAGCAAAAGCTAGTGTAAAAGCGAGAGCGAGAGAGTGGGAGAGAGAGAGGGAGAGAAAGAGAAAGGGGCAGAAAGGGATAGAGGGGAGAGAGAGAGAGAGACTAATTGTGGTTCTCATAAGCAGGCTCTGTTCCTTCCTCTGGAGCTTCCGGGTGCTTGAGGAGTGAATAGGTGATGGAATTTCCATTCTAGAGAGAGCAGAGATGTGCAATGAGATCCATAGAGAGGCCTTGGAAAATAAGGTAACAGGGAAGGAAGAGGAGGAGAGGGGAAAGGAGCTGAGTAAAACCACTCACCTCTCTTTTGGAAGTTTCCTCACAATCAATGGGATTGACTGGGGACAAAAAAAAAAAGAATGAGCATCAGCCAGAGTACTGATAGAGAAGAGGGTTTGCTTGTGCTGCTGTGGCGGCTGTAAAATCAAAGCTCAAACTATACCTGCAGCAAAGACTGTCCAACCCAACTTAGGCCTGCAGGCTAAATGCTAAGGCAATATGGCCTCCATCCTCTAACCTAGCCATCTTAGACCTAGCTTTTCCCGTTGGCCACTTTGGCAAAAAACAGACAGTCATGTGTGCCACCCCCTTTTATGCAAAAGCTTTCCTAGAAGCAAATCAGGCAGATTTGAGGATCTGAGGTATCAGTGGGAGATGTTCTGTGTCAGAATGAAATAAAGTCCAGATTTGTGCCACAGATTCCAGGGAAAGAAGACCAATAGTCATTTTCACATGGACCAAATGTAAATCCTTAGAACTCTGTAGAATTGGGTATTCCTTGGTATTAAAATGAAAGAAATAGTGAGGAAAGAGGAGAATGTAAAATAGAAGATGGAAGGGAAAGTCAGGAAGAACAGAAAATAGAAGATAAAAGGGAGGGAAAGAAAGAAAAGGAAAGGAGAGGAGGGGAGGGAAAGGGGGAAGAGGAGAGGAGAAGGAAAAGGAGAGAAAGAGCAGAGGGAAGAACGAGGGAGAAGAGAGGAAAAAGAGGGAGACAGTATTTTCTTTCATAAAAATCCAAAACACACTAAATTTCTTCATGGTTTTGCCATAACTTCACTTTGCCAGTATGAAAAGAAGTGTCAGGATCTGTGAATCAGCATTTCTCCAAAAGTCAGAGGAAAATCTGAGGCAACGCCCCTGGTCTCTTCCCTTTTCTTGGACACAAAGAGCCCCTATTTGCCATGTTCCAAATTCTTCAACATTTCATGCTCAGAATTCCCCTTTTATTACTCTCCTCAACAATCCTAGCAATTCTCTGTGCCTTTCAGGGAAACTACCAGTTCTTGTGCCTAATTGCATAAGTGCCGTGTGAAATAAATGGTTGCATTTATGCCCGTGTGGACAAAACCACGTGGATTCTGTGGTAAGCCCAGTTGTGTTTGAACTTTTTCTTTTCTTTTTTTTTTTTTCTTTTTTGGGTCTGGTCGTGGGGCCTGAACTCTGAGCCTGGGCACTGTCCCTCAGCTCTTCAGCTCAAGGCTAGCACTCTACCACTTGAGCCACAGCGCCACTTCCGGGTTTTTTCTTTTTGCTTATGTGGTGCTGAGGAATTGAACTCAGGGCCTCAGGCATGCAAGGCAAGCGCTCTACCACTGAGCCACCTTCCCAGCCCATGTGTTTGAACTTTTTCAACATCTGGTTTGATCCCAGTTGCTTACCCAGCTTCATATCACCACATGGCCTGGCCAAGATATACAGACTTTGCTAGGAGAGCAGATAGGTGAGTAATATATTTTTGCTAAAGCTCTCAAATCTGTTGGCTTGGCTCTGAGTCATACTCCAGCGGTCTGAGGTGGAATCTTAAGGACCTTACTTTGCTGCCTGTATCTGCTGCCACAGAAGGCCCAAGAAAAAACTTCAGTTTCTCTTGTGCTGCTTTTAACTTCAGTTAGGAGGTTGCCTGGAATACTGCTGCCCCTTTTATATAATTCCACTTGGAAGGATTGGTAGTGTTGGGAGGTAGTGGAATCATTAAGTGGCAGAGATTTAAGTACGCACTGGCTCTCAAAATGTCAAAGTTATAAAGACTCAGAAGTTTTATAGACTGGGCACTTGTAGCTCATGTTTATAATCCTAACTACTCAAGAGGCTGAGATCTGAGGATTGTGGTTGGAAGCCAGCAGGGGAAGACAAATCCAAGAGACTTTTATCTCTAATTAACTAGCAAAAAGCTGAAACAGAAAATGTGACTCAGTGGTAAAACACCAGCCTTGAGCCTGAGACCCTCAGTTCAAGTCTAGTACACACACACACACACACACACACACACACACACACAGAGAGAGAGAGAGAGAGAGAGAGAGAGAGGTAATGCTGAGCTGTATCACATCTATATCTGTCCCTACACAGGAGCAGATTCCTCATCAAATCTAGCAGGTTTTTTTTCCAGGCTTCCTCCTATCTTCTTCTCAGGCTCCAGCCTCCTTATTCCTATTAACCTCCATCTCACAATTTCTAACCTCTATCCTTTGCCAGTTCTGTGAAATCTCTGCAGAAAGATCCAAATATCTCGGATTTTCTACTCTGGAATTATCCAGATTCCCAGAAGGGTCTGTCCCAGAAATCTGGATGCAGCCTGCCCCTCTCTATCTGGAACCAATGTTCCTTTTCCTCATCTCCTCAGGCCCAGGAGTTAGACTCAGAACTGACCAAGCACTTTGAGCCCCTGCCTTCCTCCCTCTGCCCCCTCCCTCTCCTGTGCTCCAGCAGAATGCACACAAGCTGCTTCTTGCTGGCTCATCAGTAGCCATAGGCAGGACAGCACAGAGTCCCAGAAGGAACACTGTACTTACCTGGTTCCTCAGGGAGGGTCTCTCCCATTTCCCTGTGCTCAATACTTCCTGAGAGAACTGTGAGGGGCACATAGGAGGTTAATAGGATGACAGCTTGGGCCTGACTCTTCCGGGTGGAAGGGTAGGATTAAATTCCAACCCTCAGACCCTTCACTCCCACAGACGTTTTCTCTCCTCTCCATTTCCCAACTCGCTAGCCCAGAAACCACTATAGTGTATTAAAGGGCTGGTCCAGAGAGACATAAGACAGCTAACCCATGGGACTTCTAGGACAGTCAGAAAGGCCACTCCATTTCTTAGGCTGTTCTGCCTTCTAAAAGTGTAACCTCTTTCTCTCGGTATTCCAAACTCTCACTATTTATTATCAATAACTGAGTTCCTATCTCTCAACCAATTGCAACATGTTTTGTGAGATATTAACAGTATTATTTGCCAGGTACCAGTGGCTCACAACTATAAATCCTAGCTACCCAGGAAGCAGAGGTATGAGGATCCTAGTTCAAAGCCAGCCAGGGCAGAAAATTTTGTGACTCTTCAATTAACCACCCAAAATCCAGAAGTGGAACTATGGTTCAAGTGGTAGAGTGCTAGTTTTGGACAAAAAAGAATCTCAGGGATAGCACCCAGGCCCTGAGTTTAAGACCCAGCATCCAAAGAAAGAAAGAAAGAGAGAGAGAGAGAGAGAGAGAGAGAGAGAGAGAGAGAGAGAGAGAGAGAGAGAGAGAGAGGAAGGAAGGAAGGAAGGAAGGAAGGAAGGAAGGAAGGAAGGGAGAGAGGAGGGAGGAAGGAAGGGAGGTAGGAAGGGAGGGAGGGAGGGAGGCAGGGAGGGAGGGAACAGAAAGGAGGGAGGGAGAGAAACAAGAAAATTATTCTCTCTTTCTCAGTGGCCCATGGCACTCTCTTTTCTCTTCCTCAATTCCCATCCTATATATAACATTTCTCACTTCCATGCCTTGATTCATGCATCTGGAATGTTCTGTCAGCCTTCTTTGCCTAGTTAACGGCTACCTAATCCACAGTGCCAACAGCTCGTATTTGTGGGCTGTTTATTATTTACTAGGGACTGAATAAGAACTTCAGCTCTATTCATTGTCATAACAACCCTGGTAAGTGTCCCTATTTTCCAGATGAGGAAACTGGGGCACAGAGAGGTTGAGGAACTCATCCAAGTCATATAAATTATGAGCTGAGATTTGAATCTAGGAAGTCTGGCTCTACGTGTGTTTCAATCACTGCACTATACATCTTCCCCATGAAACTTTATCTGGTCCAGGACAGGCTGAGTACCCTAGTTTGGTGCCCTAGTTTGAGTATGCCCTAAAGGCCCATGTGTGAGACACTTGGTCACCAGGGTGATAGTATCGGAAGGTTGTGCAATCTTATGTGGCAGGGTCCAGCTGAGGTTTGTTCTTGAAGGGAACTGTTGGGACTTCTTGTTACTTCCTTGTTCTCTTTGGTTCTTGGCAATAAGATGAGCAATTTTGCCTAGTTCTCTGATCCCATCAGTATATGCTACCTTGTCATAAGGCCATAGCAACAGGGCCAACCAATCATAAACAGATCCCCATAAGACTTTTCTCTTGGGGCTGGGAAGGTGGCTCAGTGGTAGAGCGCTTGCCTTGCATGCATGAGGCCCTGGGTTCGATTCCTCAGCACCACATAAGCAAACAGAAAAACCCGGAAGTGGCGCTGTGGCTCAAGTGGTAGAGTGCTAGCCTTGAGCTGAAGAGCTGAGGGACAGCGCCCAGGCCCAGAGTTCAGGCCCCATGACCAGACACCCCCCCCCCCAAAAAAAAGACTTTCTCTTTACAAGCTGATTATCAGAAGTATTTTGTTATAGTGACAGAAAACTGACTGATACAACTGTATTATGAAGCCTCTTGTTTATCATTATCACAGCCTTTCATTTCTCTACCATTGCTTGTATCCCATAATATAATTATATGCTTTTACTTCTGTCTTTCTTTTCTTTTTTGTGAGACAGAGGCTCAGACTCAGTACCTGACACGTTGCTCATTGGCGATTTGCCAACGAAGCCATGCCTCCAACCTCTTAAGGGCTGGTTAATTCTTTTTCTTTTTTTTAAACTTCTATCTTTCTAACAATGCTGAGAACTCTAAGGGGGCAGAAACTAGACTCATTTATCTTACTATCACTTACAGTGTCTATAACAGTGCCTGACATATAAGCAAGTTAGTTCAAGTCTTATTGAATGGATTAGTTAATAAATGAGTCAATAAATGAGTGGTGGAACTATATCAAATGTTAAATATGCTGCAGTCCAAAGATAAGGCTTCTAGCAAATCCGAGGCTAGGGCCTCAGCCAAATAGGATTTGATAACAACAGGAGTCAAAAACAAGCCACAAACCTGCTTTCTGTTTTCGCTTGAGGTAGCTCAAAATTGCTATGGCAACAACAATGACTGCTACAACAATCCCAGTGACCACAGCCACAATCACCATCACCACTGAGTCACTTGACTCAGGCCCTAGGGAAGACATATGAGGTTAGTAATAGTCTCACTTCCACTATCCCACCTCCTCCAATTCCATGCCCTTGTTCTTGTCACCTGGAGCTGCTCTGTAATCTGGATTGTTCACAAATGTAATACTCACTTCATCCTGCAGCAGCATCTGTGCAAAGCTTAAGTGGCTGAACTTGTGCCTCCCCCATAGCCAAATGTCTCCACCAAATTAATGAATGCACATTGATGGGTATGTAGGAGCAGAGGGGTGATGCTCTAGCAGAGAGGGTAAGACTAATACCTCCTATAGTTTGAGGTATTGGTACTAGCCAGAATCTGCTAGGCCTTCCTGAGTGAACATGAGACATGAGAACAAACAAGGCAAACCTCAACTCTTAGGACTGTACAGGACCTAAGGGAACCCTCTGCACTAACGAGGAAGCTCTGTTTTACCAATGTGTTTAGTTTAAGCCTGCATTTCTAAGTGAACAGCCTATGCACCCATCACATGAAAACTGAATGATCTGAGCTCTGGCCCCTAGTTCTGCCCACTAATCAATACTTGGCAAGGCCTCTAAAATGCTCTTCTTTGCTGCGATGCCCACTATTGCTGTGGTGATATTTCTCATTCAACTTCTTCCCTCCTTACATCTTGACACAATTCACTTACTTTGGACAGTGATGGCCACAGACTTGGATGAATAGGACATCCTTCCTATATTTCCTGTGCAGTAGTAATCACCACTGTGACTAAGATTGGCATTGGGGATGGAGAAGTTGCCACTGAAATGGGAGAACTTCTTGGATGTCCCATTCTGGTAGAAAGTGATCTTGTTCAGAAAGCTGTCTTTCCAGCTGTGGCACCTCATCACAATGGTGTCCCCCTCCTGGAACACCAGTTGAGGGGTCTGAAGCAGCAGCCAGTCTGAAAGACAGGAAAGGACACAGACCCCCCTCAAAGTCTTTTGGCTCACTCTGAGACCTCGACTATCCTTATTGGTGGGACCTCATGTGCAGAGAAAGAACTTAAGTTCGGAATCAAACAGTTTTGAGCCCTAATTCTGGCTCCACTCATTTATGTACTCTGAAATCATGGGGAAGGAATTTTAACATTTTCTAGTCTTCAGCTGCTTCATCTGTGAAGATGGGAATGATAAGACCATCCATCTACAATAGCTCCAGGCACATCTCAGGTATTCAGGACTTGCTCATCTTCTCTTTCCACTCCTGGGAGAAGGCAGCCGCAGCCTGTCCTGTCAGGAAGGACACTAGAAACCCTGAGATAAGTCCACTCCTGGAGGTGGGGAAGGAGAACTTTGGTCTCACCCAGGAAAGGCTCTGTCGGGGGACCCAACAAAGATGTATGTTGGGAAGGCTTGAACCTCCAATAAATGTTGGTTTTCTTGATAAATATCAGCAGTCAGAGGTAAATCATTAGCTGGCTGTATAGTTTTGAAGGAAATCTGAGGGGAGGGGAGTAAGTGAAGAGCTACAACAGTAGTCATCATAGTCACATGACAGCTCTTCTTTATGGAGAGTCTATTATTTTAACAGGAACTTTGTAAAATTGTTGATGTGTTCAGCAAACATTTACAAAGTCCTGCATTGCCTCAGGTGCTGCAAATACAGAAATGGATGAGACACAATTTTCAATCCAAACTGCCTACAGGATGATGGAAAAAGACAGAGCAGGACACCCAGCACTGAGTGTGGAGAAGGGATATAAAGGTTAGGGAAATGTCACTTCTTCCCAGAGCTCAGTGAGTGAGGAAGGCGTTACTATCCCTGGGAAGCAGGCAAGGGAACCAACCGAGAAGGAGTAAATGAATTCATCGTATTTACATGGTTGGCTGCTTACAGGACTGAACTTCAGTTATGGTCACTCTGTGTGTTTTGGCTCTACATGAACGTGAACGGGCTTCTGTGAAATGGGGACTTCCTTTTCTCTCACACTCAGCTGCCTGTCTGTTGCCTTAGAACCTTCTTGCTCAATCAGGGCTGAAGCAAGAATAACCATTCACATGCACTGAGGTATTTCTTAGGAATTTGCACAGACCCCCCCCCCCCCCATCACCAACTCATACACTAAGCAAAGGAATGAGTGAAAAGGGCAATGCATGAGGAAAAGCACTTCTAGCAGCTCAGGACTAGGCTTGCCAAGAACAGGCAAACCTGTGCCTTGTAATCACATTTGTCCCCTGCTGGCCTCCCAGCCCCTTCCTGGGCACCCCTCTACTTACCGGCTATCACAACCAGATGCACAGGGTCACTGAGGCTGGTCTGGCTCATCTGGCACCTGTACTCCCCACTGTCATTTCTCTTGGCTTTAAAGTTGTAGTTGGGCTGGACCTGGGCTGGGATGGATTTCCCATTGTGGAACCATTGTGTGGAGTGGTTCCCAGGGTTGTGGGACCCCTGGCAGGTTAGTGTCACATTGTCTTCCTGGAGCACTTGGATCCATGGGGGTTCAAGTCTCATCACAGCCTTGGGGAGATCTGTTGAAAGGGTCAGAGAGAGAAGTCTATGTGAGAAGAGAAAAACTCAAGAGCCTAAGAAGGCTAAGAATTTCTGACAAAGAAGTATCTATGTTCTTACTTGGGACACTAAGATTGTAACCAGGTCCAAAACACTTTTTCAACTGAGGTGGATTTCTGCCTTATACATCCTACCACAAGGGCACAGGGAACTTCCAGGAGATATAACTGATCCTTAGCAGGACAAGACAAAGAAAACAAAGGGGGAGATAGCACAGGAAACTCACAGAACTATATATATCTACCTTGATAAGTAAGTATATTCTAGCAGTTCAATATCTTTCTCTCTTCCCTTCTCCTTTTCTAAATTCATTTGTAAGTTAATGTGTTTGGTCACTAGTCGGTAAACTCTCCCAGAGAAGGTAAGTGGAGGCATATGGTGGAAATGTCAGGCATGGGAATTAGATATCAAGTTTCTGTTCATATCTAATGTCATTCGTTATCTCTTACAAAGGAGGTCAGATGCCTGTCCTCACACCCAAGCATAACGGAGCCTCTGTGGCCTCCGAAGGTTAAGAAATGATGGAGAAAAGGTGAGGAGCCAGTCTTGGGGGTGGAGGAAGAATGAATGGACACAGAAGTGCTGGCAAAGCTCACACTGCCAAAGCTGCTGTAGGGTTATGGGATAGCCCAGTCAGGAGAACAGGCCTTGAAGCCCTCAGCCCTATGCAAAAAGTGGAGGATTTATTTATCTAACAAGATCATGTAATTTTTATATGTTTAGACATTCTTTGGAGAGAGGAAGTACTTATTGTTTTCAAATAATTTTTCTAAAACTGACACTTAGCTATATGTCTTTATGGAGAGCAGTAAGACATCAATACCTATTGTATAATGATCAGAATAAAGGAACTGACAGATCTATCTATCACATCAAATATTATTTATTGGTGCTAGGAACACTGAAACCCTCTCTATTAGCTATTTTCAACTGTATGAGTAATTGTTGTCAGTTACATTTACTTTTCTGTGCTACAGGACATTAGAAGTTATATTCCTACTATTTAACTGTATGTCTATATGTCTGTTAACTACCCTCTCTCTATTCTCCCCTTCTTTCTAATTCTACTACTCTATCCTCACTCTAGATTTTTTTCTTACAACTATCCTGAGAACAAGATTTTGTCTTTTGGGAGGACAAGATACATGAAAAATCTTATAGAAAAATAGAAAATACATGTGACACCTTTTTAGAAGCTCTTGGTTTTATCTACAGTGAAAGGCAATTAAGAAAAGTCAGAATGCTCCTGTGTGTGGGGGGGGGGGGGGGCGGGAGAAGGCTAGTAACATCTCACCATAACAGAACCAGAAAGTTTGAAGTACCTGTGCACTATGACTACTCTCCACCTGCCTTCCTGGGAAGGAGGAAAAGGAGCAGGGGATCTTATGGGAGCAATGACCCCTTGCTAGTACTGAGCTTTGATACTGGTACATTCACATCATCTCCAGAAAGGACACTGGGAGAGGAGGGAGATGAGAGATGGAGAAAGGAGAGGATATAGGTACAGTACTTACCAGGTGTGCCGGCTACTAGAGCTGAAACACAAAAAAAACAAAGATTAACCTGGGCCTGATCCTCATACTGAGACATACTTGCCCAGACTCACAGTCCCCTTACTCATGTCCCAGCTCTCACCCAAATACAATTCCCTTGGACTATCTGGAAGAGATCATTTTCAAATGTGCTCAGAATTCCTTCCCACTAACAGAAGAAAATAAAATAATATAAAACTCTCTTCCAGCCAGGTGCCAGAGGCCCACCCCTGTAATCCTAGCTACTCAGATGGCTAAGAGCTGAGGATCAAGGTTCAAAGTCAGCCTAGCAGGAAAGTCTGAGTTTCTCTTACCTACAATTAACCACCAGAAAACCAGAAGTGGCACTATGGCTCAAAGTGGTAGAGTGCTAGCTTTGAACAAAAAAGAGCTTGGGGACAGCCCCCAGTCTCTAAGTTCAAGCCTCATGGCTAACCAAAACAAAAAACAAAAAAACTTTATTACATCTGTGTTGTGACACTTTCATTTGGCCTAACACCTTTGACTGATTAAAATTAAAATACTCCTGGAAAGTTCCCTAATAGAACTCTAGATTTTTCTTATGTCTATCCTGAGAACAAGATTTTGTCTTTTGGGAGGACAAGATACATGAGAGATCCTTATAGAAAAATAGAAAATACATGTGACAAAAATAATACCATCTTGGCATATGTCCTGTTGGACTTTCTCCATGAAAATATATTCACATAATGTTTAAACACAGACATAAACAACTGGCAAAGAGTCTATACTGTACCAATTTAATCAGGATGGAAAATATCTTTTGTACCATACAAACATTCTTTAGTATATTAATCTGTTTTTCTATGCCTTTTTCTTTTGAGGAGGATAGTACTCAGGATTGAACTCAGGGCCTCATACTTACTAGACAGGCACTCTACTATTTGAACATACTTCCAGCCTATATTATCAGGATTTTGTAGTTGTTTGGGTTTTTTTGTTTATGTTTTTGTTTTTGTCAGTCATGGGGCCTGAACTCCTAGCACTCTACCACTTGAGCCATAGCACCACTTCCAGCTTTTTCTGTTTATGTGGTGCTGAGAAATCAAACCCAGGGCCTCAGGCATGCAAGGCAAGCACTCTACCACTGAGCCACCTTCCCAGCTTCTATATTGTCAGTTTTAACACCTACATTCTATTCCATTATTTGGTTCTCCTATGGTTTACTTCACATCTCTATTTCTTGATATTTAGGTCTTCCAGATTTTTGTTTGTTTGTTGTTTTAGTCGATCGTGGGGTCTGAACTCTGGGCCTGGGCACTGTCCCTCAGCTCTTCAGCTCAAGGCTAGTGCTCTACCACTTGAGCCACAGCACCCACTTCTGGTTTTTTCTGCTTAGTGGTGCTGAAGAATTGAACCCAGGGCCTCATGCATGCGAGGCAAGCATTCTACCACTGAGCCACCTTCCCAGCCCCAGATTTTTGTTATAAGGCAAATCTGATAGGAACAGGGGACTGCAAAAAGGCTAAGTGTAAGGCAGGAAGACCCAGGAAAGCTAATCAAAAGGGTGAAGATGTATAGGCACTTTAATTGGCCAAAGAATCAAAGCAGTTCCTTAGATGTATATGTTCGTGTTATGTGTGGCTGTTGGTAGATTTTCTCTTATATTAGGGCAGAGAAAGTGTCAAAAGTCTCCCAAATCTGTGTATATTTTCAGGGACAAAAGTATGGCAGGGCCAGATGCTGGTGGCTCATGCCTATAATCCTGACTATTCAGGGGACTGAGATCTGAGATCACGGTTCAGCCTAGGCAGGAAAGTCTGTGAAACTCCTTATCTCCAATTAACCACACACACACACACAAAAATGGAGCTGTGGCTCACATGGTAGAGTACTAACCTTGATCAAAAAAGCTCAGGGACAGGCTCTGAGTTCAAGCCTCAAGGCTTGCTCAAAAAACAAAACAAAAAGAAAGAAAATTAGAATAAGAACAAAGAATGATTAGGAGACACTATAGAGAATGTTGATCTGGAAGTTTGTAGAGCAAGATTCTAGTCCTGATACTACCACATCTCACCAGTACACTTAGGCAAATCTGTCCTTTTACAATCCAACTTTAATCATCAAAGCTGCATCAACTTCCTATTGGCAATCCTAAAGCAAAAGCTGCAAGTCTCTACCCAACAGTCTAACAATATAGATAAATAAACATGCCATCTTACATAAGAGAGACAGTCTTGGAGGTTCAGAGGAGAAAAAGATCCTAGGATCCCATGTTTGGCAAAGTTTAGGGTGGTAAAGAGGAAACCCCATGGAGAGAGTGTTTATCATGAAGCTTCAAGGTCTGATAAAACTTTGGCAGAGTTGGAAGAGATATTCATGGGAAGGGCTGGCAGGCATTCAATATTCCCAGCAAATGGCAGCCCAGTTTTTGTCTTCTGATTGCTGACCTTTGGTAAAGCAAAGTAATTAGGAGCAAAGTTGAAAACTGAAGGGCTCCTCAAGCTGAATGATGGGAATGCGCATAGGAGAACAGAATTTAATTAAACGCTGATTCACCATTGCTAAGCGACCTTGCAGACGCTGCTTAACTTCTCCGCTTCAGTTTCCTTTGCTTATAAATATGATGACAGCAATGCCCACTTGATGTGGTTGGAGCAAGGAATAAGTGAGATACTATACATAGGCACTTTTGTTCTATCTGACATATGATAAATTTTAAATATATTTAAATTTTATGTTTGCTCTTTTGTCCAATGAATATTGGGAAGTGATCTGAGAGCCAGTGGCTTACACTTGTAATCCTAGCTACTCAGGCGGCTGAGATCTGAGGATCATCATTCAGAGCTACCCAGGGCAGGAAAGTCCCCCTGAGACCCTCATCTCCAATTAACCACTCAAAAATTGGAAGTGGAACTATGGCTCAAAGTGGTACAACACTAGGCTTGAGCAAAAGAGCTCAGGGACAGTGCCCAGGCCCTGAGTTCAAACCCCACAATGGACAAAAATAAAATTTATTTTAAGAATAGTGGGAAGTCACTTAAGATGTTCATACTGGATTGAAAGTGCCATGTCAGAATAATTTAGAACAAGGGAAGTATCATAGATTAGTTAAGAAAAAGATGACTACAGTGATCCGGAATACATGTGAATGATCTGTCCAGCATCCAGCTGCTTCCTTCCTTGACCTGCTCATCTCCATTGAGCTTGCTTTCTTTCGTCCTGTCTTCCTTTCTTCCTTCCATCCTTCCCACTCTCCCCTCTCTTACTTTTTTACTTTCTTCCTACACTAGTCCTGGGGCTAAAACTCAGGGCTTGGGTGATGTCCCTGAGTTTTTTGTGCTCAAGACTAGCACGCTACCATTTGAGCCACTGCTCTGTTTCCAGCTTTTTTGGTGATTAATTGGATATGAGAGTCTCATCGATTTTCCTGCCAGGGCTTGCCTCAAACCACAATACTTAAATCTGAGTAATTAAGATTATATATGTGAGTCACATGCACCCAATTCCAGTGAATTTTCTTTGCTACAACTTAAGTCACACATTTTCATGTTTATCATCACCAAAACCATACTAACTAAAGTCACAAAATCAAACAGCTCATTCTTCGGTCACAGCTTCGTCTTTTTCCATTTCATCTGCTTACCAGTTTTGGCCACTCTTGGCTTGGATTCAATGATCCATTATAACCACCTCATCACAATCCCCTTAACTTCTTTGCCCTGCTCTCTATATGAAATGCATCTGTTTTCTCCATGCTTTTTCTCAGGTATCTGTATTAATAGGAAAAAGGTGACTGCACCCATGAAAATACAAATATTATAAGGACAAGAACATTTGTAAGGGAAAGATAATAAGTTAGATTTTTAATACATGTTGTTTCTGAGCTGGCAACTTGGAGCTGTTCAACCAACAGGCAGAAATATGTAAGTATATAGAGTAAGCAAGGAAATAGCTTTGGGTTATTGATATAGACACAATAATAGCAAACAATGGGAGTAGAAATGGGAAGAGGGACAGCTCAGTGGGAAAGTGGGTGAAGAGGATAAAGAAGACAAAAAATTAAAAATAAAAGAAAGAGATGAGGAAAGGAGAGACATTACCAATCATGTACTATCACATTTAACAAATAGTAGTAATGCCGGAAAGATGGCTCAGTGGTAGAGCACTTGCCTTGCATGCCTGAGGCCCTGGGTTTGATTCCTCAGCACCACATAAGCAAAAAGAACAAACCCCAAAGTGGTGCTGTGGCTCAAGTGGTAGAGTGATAGCCTTGAGCTGAAGAGCTGAGGGACAGCGCCCAGGCCCAGAGTTCAGGCCCCATGACCAGACCCAAAAAAAAAAACAAAAAAAACCACAAATAGTAGTAAGAACTAATTATTTTACACCTAGTGTTCTCACTGTGAAGTAAATAAAGATCTTGTGTTTTAGGTTAAAGAAACCATCTATGTGTTCACTGATAAATTCTCAAGTTCTAGAACAGTGCCTTGCAATAGAGCTTGCTTAAGGTTTAAGACATGGTAGAATATACAGAAACAAAGACACTGTGCTAAAATACCTTTAGCATAAACAGAAGCAGAGATGTTAAAAACAAAACATAGTATATGCCCTGTCTGATTATAAAGATTCATTGTTGATGTGTTGAGAACATGGTTAGAAGGGGAGAACTGGAGTTTTTTCAGTAGGCAGTGGACTTGTCCCAGAAGAATTTATGATGTACAGTAACTCAGCACAGTTCTACTTGAAAACACCCTGGCTTTGGTGTGCATAGTGGACACAGAGGGAGTCAGGAGCAATCAAGACAATCAGAACCAGGCATTGTTGGTTCATGCTTATAATCCTACCTACTCTTAGTTCGAAGCTAACCCACCAGAAAAGTCTATGAGATTCTATCTCCAATTGACCAACAAAATGCCAAACTGGAGGTCCAACTCAAGTAGTAGAGTGCAAGTAAGCAAGAGCACAAGGCCCTGAGTTCAAACCCTGTTGCCAACACATATAAAAATGGAGAAAGAAAGGAAGGAAGGAAGGGAGGGAGGGAGGGAGGGAGGGAGGGAGGAAGGAAGGAAGGAAGGAAGGAAGGAAGGAAGGAAGGAAGATGCAATCATGGATGGAGTCATGGCTCAAGCAGTAAAGCACCTGTCTGCCTAACCCTGAATTCAAACTATAGTACCATCAACACACACACACACACACACCCCAAATTCCAGTGGTGAAGTGGTGAAGACTTAAATATAGGAGGGGGGAAATGGGATAGATTCCTGGAGATTTAGTAAACAGCAGAACTTAGGAGTCTTGCCCAGATGACAGTGATAGCACTATTGGCATCCACAGAGACGCACATCACCTCTCTAGGGCTGAGCCTTTCCACATGAAAACTGAGGCAGATCAATCCACTTTACACTCTATTCTACTTCAACCCACACATAGGGAAATCTTCCTGCTCCTTACCTCTGCCTCTAATAGCAACATGTCAATCCAGTATTAAGGGAAAAGATCCCCCAGAGCTCATATTTCTTGCTTTGAGAGGCACACTCAAAGTCCCAGGATTCTGATAGTAGGGATCGCCTCCAGTCTCTTCCAACTATCCAGCTGAGAACTTAACTAGAAAATTAAAGACCCTGCCTTTGTCACTAGTTAGACCCGTGACCAGTGAATGGGGGTGTGGGTGTAGCAAGTGATTTCTGTGGTCCTGCAATTGACAGCTACAGAATTGTCCAAGTATGTAAATTCTCTGAGCCTCAGATCCCTACAAGATCCAGACCCTTCTGTGCTTCTACCCAGAAGAATCTCCTTACACATAAAGATGCTGCATTGTGGCTTGGGGGGGCACAGAGAATGGTAAATGCCACCCCCTGAAGTACATCTTTGTCTGGAGCAGAAGTAGCTATCTTACGTAAAATTATGCCCACATGAATCATCAAAGGGAAACATTCTGGCCACTTGTTTATTACTCCAACTTAGATCACTAGATTTTCCTCTGAGCAGGTCCTGGTGTTTGGGGGTGGGAATGAAGAGTGGCAGAGTACTGAGTTCCTGAATGCCCAGCCAAAGAAAGCATAACCAACAAATTCTACCAACCTTGAGTTTTGAAGGCCAGCAGAACTGTCAGTCTATCAACATGCACAACACTCCTGATATTTTCTTGACAGTCTTCCCAAGTGACCCTCATCCCCACCCAAGTTGGACCTCAACCCAGGTTTCCATACTCCTCACAGGGGGTCCTGACTCACCCAGGAATAACACAGCTGTCCACAGTAGCATGTGATCCCAAATCTGCAAGGGCTTGCAAACAGCCCAGTCACTCTCAATGGCAAGTAGAGATAGAAATGCTGGGATTCACCCCTGAAGCGATGTGGCTCTAGATGCTCACAGGCACAGGCTTCTGTCCAGACTTGGCAGAGTCAACTCAGAGGAGAAATTCTGGAGTCCAAATGAGGAAGTGAAAAGGTCTGTTTAATTATAGGCTCCTCCCTTTCTACCCTCTTTCCTTTCATCATGTTCCTGCCTAGAAAATTCAGGGCTTCTCATCTATGAGGCTCAACTCAAATCATTGAAATTTTAGACACTGGAAAGCAACTTCCCTCTTCTTCTTTTGGGACCATAGTTGACCTAAACCTCTGGTAGAAAGAGGGAATGATCACCTAAACTCAGTTCAGCAATTCTGACCTCCATCTCCATCAGAAAGAAAGAAAGGAAGAAAGAAAGAAAGAAAGAAAGAAGAAAAGAAAGAAAGAAGGAAGGAAGGAAGGAAAGAAAGAAAGAAAGAAAGAAAGAAAGAAAGAAAGAAAGAAAGAAAGAAAGAAAGAAAGAAAGGAAAAAATGATGGAGGTTGGTGCACTGGCAATCTTCTGGTACCTCCTCTCTCTCTCTCTCTCTCTCTCTCTCTCTCTCTCTCTCCCCCTCTCTCCCTCTCACTCTTTGTCTCTGTCTCTGTCTCTCATGCAGGTACTAGGTCCTGAACTCAGGGTTTGGCACTGTCCCTTAGCTTTTTCACCATTTGACCCACAGCTCTACTTCTGTGTATTGTTGGTGTTAATTGGAAATAAGAGTCTTACAGCTTCTCAAATCTCAGCCCCCTGAGTAGCTTGGATTACAAGTGTGAGCCACCAGTGCCTGGCTATTACTATTTGCATTTGGAGAGCTGTCACTGGAATCTGACTCCTCCTAAAACTGAGCAAAGGAGCTTGAAACTACCCACTGTCATATGATTTCCTATTATCACAATCTCTAGCACACTTGTGGAACAAAAGCAAGGATCTATGCCAGAGCAGCATTAAAGTGACCACGTTTATCCTCATTATTTTCCTCTATTTCTTGTTTTATGTATTCATTAATTTAATGAGTATCTCAATACGTTTTATTGATTTCTGAATCTTTATTTTCATATTGCTCTTTTTACCACCATGCCATGATGAAAATCATGGGCTCTGGGGCATCCCTTGCCTCTATCCTTTAAATGTCAGTGATATCCTTCATTGTGAAAAACACAAATTCCTGCAGATATTGGCAAACGTTCCCCAGAGGGGAATGTTAAAGAGGGGAAAATTAACCCTGGTTGAGGACCACTGTATGTGAGGGTTTTTTCTTGTAAAATAAAAGATGAAAGTGGATGTGTGGCTCAAGTAGTAGAACACCAGCCAAGAGAGAGAGAGCTAGAGGCCCTGAATTAAAAAAAAGAAAAGACTGTGAGTGCTAACAAAGTACTTACTACAAAATAGACATACAACATAAATGCTAGGGTTTTTTATCCTTACTTTCTGTCATCATCCTCACCAACTTCTGCTCAATCTCAACATCTCCAGAGCATAAGCTATTCTGGGATCTGTCTTGAATCTTCTCCTGGGGCCTCTTTCCCAAGTGCCCTTTCAGGAAGCAAGCTGTTTTACTCAAGGAAATGACATTGTAAAACTTATACTCTGTGGTCTTCAGAAACTTTCAACAGCACAGACTTCTACTATTGATACCATCTTACCAACCACAAGCCCCTCCTATCCCTTGTCCAGTTGTCTAGTTTTTGCCAGTAATAAGAGGGCAATATATTCACATCAAAATTTGTAAGCTGGGGGCAGAGGGGGGAAGATGGGAAGGGATGGGAGGGGGAAACAAAGGAGGAGGCAACAATGCTTGATAAGAAATGTACTCATTGGGGCTGGGAAGGTGGCTCAGTGGTAGAGCACTTGCCTTGTATGCATGAGGCCCTGGGGTTTGATTCCTCAGCACCACATAAGCAGGAAAAAAAAAGCCAGAAATGGCGCTGTGGCTCAAGTGGTAGAACACTAGCCTTGAGCTGAAGAGCTGAGGGACAGCGCCCAGGTCCAGAGTTCAGGCCCCATGACCGGACCCAACAGAAAAAAAGAAAAGAAAAAAAAAAGAAATGTACTCATTATCTTGCCCATGTACTTGTAACCCCTCTGGTTACAGCTGGGTGCTGGTGGCTCATGCTTGTAATCCTAGCTACTCAGGAGGCTGCAGGAGGCTGAGATCTGAGGATCGCGGTTCAAAGCCAGTCCGGGCAGGAAAGTTCGTGAGACTCTTATCTCCAATAAACTGCTAGAAAACCAGAAGACCAGAAGTGGTGCTGTGGCTCAAGCGGTAGAGCGCTCGCCTTGAACTGAAGAGCACAAGGACAATGCCCAAGCCCAGAGTTCAAGCCCCACGACAGGCAAAAAAAAAAAGAAAAAAAGAAAAAAAAAGGAGACTGAAATCTGAGGATCATAGTTTGAAGCCAGTATGGGCAGGAAAGTCCTTTAGACTCCAAGCTCCAATTAACCAGCAAAAGGCTGCAGGTAGAACTATGGCTTAAGTGGTAGACTGTTAACCTTGAGCAGAAAAAGGTAAGGAGGGACGGGTTAGGTTTTTAAAGAAGAGGTTGAGTAAGAACAGCACCACGCACATGGTATTCAGGTAAGGGGCAGGTTTGTTCAGTAGACCGGCTGGCACTCCATGCTGCTAACAAAGAGGACATCTGGCCCTGAGCTAGGCCTTATCTAGGGTAGGGGCAGGGAAAGGTGTGGCCAGGTAAAGGGAGGTGGGACCAGGTAAGAGGAAGTGGGACCAGGTGGGAGAAAGGTGTGGCCACATCAGATCCTGATGTGACATCAGTGGATGCGGATGTGACCTCTTCCAGGTGTGTGGGTTGCCTAGGTAATGCAGGTACTGGGCGGACACTTTGTTAGAAGGGTGGAGTCTGCTCACCCTCAAGGAGCGGACCTTCCAGGACAGAGCCCAGGTCCTGAGTTCAAGCCCTAGTGCCAGCACATACACACACACACACACACACACACACACACACACACTTTTTGAATATCATTAGAAATGAAAGTGTAAGGACAATATATAGTTAGCCTACTAAGAAATCAAAATTCCTAGTAAATGTCAGTACATGAATGGACGAAGTCCTGGATTGGTCTTTTTTTTTGGGGGGGGGGGGGTCCGGTCGTGGGGCCTGAACTCTGGGCCTGGGCACTGTCCCTCAGCTCTTCAGCTCAAGGCTAGCGCTCTACCACTTGAGCCACAGCGCCACTTCTGGCTTTTTTCTTTTTGCTTATGTGGTGCTGAGGAATCGAACCCAGGGCCTCATGCATCTAAGGCAAGTGCTCTACCACTGAGCCACCTTCCCAGCCCATAAATACATTTCTTTTTTGGCTGGGATGTGGTCCCCTCTGGGAGAAGGCAGCAAGCAGCAGTTGTCACTTCATCATTAGATGAAGTCTGGAGGAGTCTCACATGAAGTCTCTTGGACAAAGTTTGGAGAAGTCTCACAAGGCATTGAAGGGACTGAAAAAAAAATACTAGAGAGCAAATAAATGGCAAGAGGAAGGACTTGGGGCTGAAAATGTTGGTTAGAAATGTCCCTAGCTACTTCTGACATCTGGCGACTGGGTAGAGGACAAGTCAGGTAACAAAGGCAAGAATATAAATTCCTGTCCAGTTAGTAGGTAGACCGGTATGGACATTAGATGGGCAGGCTTCTTACTTCTATTGACCTCCCAGCTCTGGTTAATTTTGAAAGGGCAGGCACAAAGTTACTGATGTGACATCATGTCCTCTTACTCCTCTCCATGGTCCCTTGTTCCCCAGACTGGCTGAGTCTAGGTGCTCATTGATGGAATGGCTTGTCCCAGTTGGTATTCAAGGAGGTTTGAACTCAAGGCCTGGGCACGTCCCTGAGCACTTATGCTCAAAGCTAGTGCTCTACCACATTGAGTTACACTTGCAGTGTATGCTGGTTAATTAGAGGTAAGAGTCTTGAGCCAGGCTTCCAGCCTGGTTCTTTGCAGGTTAGCTGGGAGATGGAGTCTTAGGGATTTTTTGGCCTGGGCTGGCTTTGAACTGCAATCTTTGCCACAAAAACCCTTTGTTATTTCCAATTAAAGCAACAAGGAGATCAAATAGAATAAATAGAGCTCACCTGGTCCTTATAACCAAAGTTACAGAAAGAGCCTTAGCTTTTACAAATCCAAAGCAATCTTTCACCAGGAAATCAGCTGTGTGTGATGGAGCCAAGCGAGACTCCAATCTACTTTTACCAAGGTGTAGGTAGTCAGGATGGTCTAGGCAGGAGTAAGGCCTGTTTTCCAGGTTGAAAGAGATGGACTGGCCGGGCGCTGGTGGCTCACGCCTGTAATCCTAGCTACTCAGGAGGCTGAGATCTGAGGATCGCGGTTCAAAGCCAGCCCGGGCAGGAGAGACCGTGAGACTCCTATCTCCAATAAACCACCAGAAAACCGGAAGTGGCGCTGTAGCTCAAGTGGTAGAGCGCTCGCCTTGAGCTGAAGAGCTGAGGGACAGCGCCCAGGCCCAGAGTTCAAGCCTCACGACCGACAAAAAAAAAAAAAAAAAAGAAAGAGATGGACTGTATTTGGACTGCATGTAGACTGGCTGGCACTGAACTACAAATCCAAACTGAGCAAACTTCAGGAATCTCAGACAATTTAAGCCAAATAACTTCATTACAATGCCAGATAACAAGTTTACACAGACACACATATACAATTATAGGGGTGCACACACAGAATCAAGTTGAGGTTGATGCGAAATCGAGTTAGCACGAAATAGCAGCTGAACTCCCATGATGCCAAGATGGCACATCTGCCACTTGGTCAATGCTAGAGAAAGCTAAAGATTTTGACAGTGAGGGTCCATTGCTTCTAACACACATGGAGCTTCAGGTTCTACCCCCACTACAAAGGCAGAGAAGGAGTCCCACAGGGGAGGGGTCCTTGCAGGAGAGGCCTGAGAGGGGGACCCTCTCAGGGGAAGTCACAGAGGGGGTACCTTGCAAGGGAGGCCGCAAGAGGGGACACTTCATGGGGGAGGCCACAAAACACAGGAGGCCTCACTGGGGAGGCTGCAGAAGTAGGTGGAGTAGTAAGCTTGGTGGAAGGTTAAGAGTCAGATGAGACCCAATCCTTAACCCAGCACA